AAAATAAAAGTTTTTGTTTACATAATATATGTGTGTGTATTGTGTATATTTATTATGTATATATAAATACACACACATATAGCATATATTTTGAAAATATGTACATGTATTTACATGTATATATTTATATTCATAAAATGTATATTATATATAAATATATTTAATATATAAAAGTAACATATTTTTCTTAAATATATACATTAACTGAAAATGTAGTGTTTACTATTGTCATTTTGCATTATTGACACACTATTTTCCTATTTAATACTGTAAAGTTGCTTTGACACAATCTGTATTGTTAAAAGCGCTATATAAATAAAGGTGACTTGACTTTGATTGACATGCATGTGTGTGTATGTATATATACTTAATAAATATACACAGTACATACACATATATTATGTAAACAAAAACTTTTATTTTGGATGCGATTAATCGCGATTAATCGTTTGACAGCACTAATAAATAAATATATATATATATATATATTCATACAGTATACAGTATATATATATACAGTACATTATGATATAATCCTTGATGATATACACATGAAATACATAAAATTCAATCAATTTATTCAATTGTTAGGGTTATGTAGTTACCCATAATTGTATAAAATAAATCAACTGCAAAAAAAAAAATTTATGTACCTATAAATATAGCCTAATATAGCCCAAATGTGGCCCATATGGGACCCACAAATAAGCAATAATGGGCAACCTAACTGGAGCCCACAACTTTATCCAAGCTGGGGCCCACATTCAGCCCATCAAAGTGCCCACTCTGAGCCCATGCCCAGTTGATGCCCATATAGCCCAGATAAATCCCATGTGGGGCCCACATGAACATGTTGGCTGGGATGGTAATAGGTTTCGAATATCTAATGACACAAATGTTACAAAAAAATCTAGGATGTGATTTCATAGCTAGTTTATACTTTTTATTATGCACATAAATGGACCGAGGTGAACATATTTAGACAGGTTGTGAACCCTGTTTGGTTTTTAGACAGTTGAATGTAACTCTCCAAAAAGTCCAGTACAAATATTACTGCCATTTAACAATTCGATTCGACCTTTGTGACCAAAGAGGTGTGGACTTTGAAGTCTGATGCCCATATAGCCCAGATAAATCCCATGTGGGGCCCACATGAACATGTTGGCTGGGATGGTAATAGGTTTCGAATATCTAATGACACAAATGTTACAAAAAAATCTAGGATGTGATTTCATAGCTAGTTTATACTTTTTATTATGCACATAAATGGACCGAGGTGAACATATTTAGACAGGTTGTGAACCCTGTTTGGTTTTTAGACAGTTGAATGTAACTCTCTAAAAAGTCCAGTACAAATATTACTGCCATTTAACAATTCGATTCGACCTTTGTGGCCAAAGAGGTGTGGACTTTGAAGTCTGACACAGTCATTGTCAACACCTGACCTCATTTAATTTAGCCAGAGGATTCAAGTTAGGCAAGATAGTCAAATAATACATCAAAAAGGAGATGGAAAGCTAAATTGAGTGCTTTGCATTATTGGATGCAATATTCCACACAGTAAGCTCTTGTGTGCTGTTCATTTTGGCATATGTAGGTCAGGCTGATATTCTATGCATAACATTTGCATACTGTGCACAGTATACATACTAAATACTGCAGCAGTAGTAGAGTGGTATATGACAGTGTGCTATTTCAACTTCAAAAAATGTATACTGTGTACATTAAGCATGTTTTCTGCATATACAGAATAGATTCAGTGGATGCCCTACTACGTTTTCAAAATGAGCAGAATAAAAGAGCTTAATGTGTGAAATATTGTATCCCACAATGCATCAACTTGACCTTCTATTTCCAGTGTAATGGATGAAACTAAAGTAGTATCAACTGCATTCATTATTTGACGGGACTAAGATATTTTTATACAAAATTGCATTTAAATGAAAAACAAACAATTGGAATTAAGCGAAAAAGGTCATGTGACAACAATGCATACTACAGTCTGAAGCGCTTATTCTGGAAAGCCATATTTTTTTCCACTATTTTATAGGTATTTATTTCATAATTATGTTGATGTTTATATTGAATGAAGAATTTGAACACTAAAATTCTAAAGTGACATAAAAACGCATAAAAACCAGATGGACCATACATTATATTACATTTATTTTATATCGCTAACACACACACAACAAAACATATACAAAAGGATCATTCCCGCATCAATGATCGGTTCAAACCTCACATATGCAATGTTTTGCATTTAAACACATTTAAAAAGTTGGAAAAACATTCAAGAACACAGACTGACCAAAAACAAACACACAAATGCCATCAAACCAGATCCTTTTGCATCTTTGTATGCAAAACTGCAGAAATCATTTCACAACCAACCACAGAGATCAAACAGGCCAAAGATCACTTTTACTGATTTCTATGCAAATTACGAAAACCGAGTGGGAATTTCCGAGCAGGATCACAACAATAAATCACCGCAGGGTAGAAGATAATGAGATGGGCGGTGAGGAGACATTTACTGGGTGGATCTTTCTTCTGTTAATGAGAGGGACTGAAATGGATGCATGAAGATGCTGGATGTAGATATGAAATAGTATGATGGCAAAAACACCTGGATTCAAAGCCAAGGTGCGTCAAGGCACGATGTGTGAAGTTCAGTGCTGATTTTGGTCAAAGCACCTAAAGCCTTGCTGGTTGCATAACATTTTTTCCGATTTTTTTCTCTCAGAATTGAAGGTAATAATATCGGAAGAGTGTTAAAATTGAATCTTGTTTGTGTCTGCTGGTGTGAGAAAAAAAGATTTCAGAGCTCAAACACAATAGAGGTAGACGACATTCTCTCTCGGCTGTTATTAATACTCTTGTAGAGGAAACACTCTCTGATGATTACCAGTTATCAATTACAGAATTAGATGATCCATAACGGTGCAAATTTTGAATTCCAGGCATTCGATTCACCAACACATCAAGAAAATGTTACACTGTATAAAATGCTTACATTATGGCAAGCTATGATATGCACACACTGAATCTTTTTGGTGTATTTAATGGGCATTGTACTTGGCATAAACAAAGTTTATTAGCTTACATTATGAATACAGGTGACCTTATGCGAGTCACTTGAGCAAAAAGAGACACGATGACACTCCCATGATGTGCACCGAGAGGAAGTTCAAGCACAATGGAAGACTGAATCCAAGCAGCAATTATAAGTAAATAAATAAAACATCTACAATACACGATCTAGAATAGGTTCACACAAGGTGAGAAGTAAATACTATGGAAATGTTATGGAGCTGGTTATCGATTTACTATATGTTCATAAGGAGTTACACAATACATAATGCAATGAGCATACTGGGACATTGCGTTTCGTTTTGGTGATGCTGTCACAAGCTCTTTGTGCTGGTTATACCCTGGATTACATTTCAGCAAAGAATAGGCAGCATTTCCAGCATATTCAGAATACATATTTTCAATAAAAAACAAAACCCTGTCTTCTGCAAGCACCCAGCGAGCGACTGCTCAACAAGAAATAAGACTTTTCTGAATTCAGAGGGGTGAAGCATCAAACAAATGTCTATAAACTCATCAACGCAAGTTTAACATGATTTACTGTAAACCTCATTACGAAATGATATGCTTCTCCCTTTATAAAAAAGATCTTATAAAATTTCCAATGTTGATTAAATCAGGAAAAAAAAAAAATACTATGTAGAATATTACACAATAAATAATAATTCTTAATTATATGTCCTATAGAAAGAGTCTGCTGTAAAACTAAATGCCAGCAAACGTAATTATGGCACAGCTTGTTTTCATTAAAGAATAAAAGTCAAGCGTTTTAGATTGTGATATGGAACGAGTCATGTATCCAGCTGTCTTTGGATGTCCCGTTTTTAGGAGATGTATCGTTTCCATCTGGCGTTTCGGCTGGTGTCATACCGGACTCAGTATAATATTCCTCATCTTCGTCGAAATAACCGTTCTCCATCCCGTAGGGTCCATCCGCACTGGACACAGCGGAGAAGTCCTGGCAGCTGCCCTTGTACTCCTGGATGGACTCGTGAAGAGACCAGAAATGTCTATAAACTCATCAACGCAAGTTTAACATGATTTACTGTAAACCTCATTACGAAATGATATGCTTCTCCCTTTATAAAAAAGATCTTATAAAATTTCCAATGTTGATTAAATCAGGGGAAAAAAAACAAATACTATGTAGAATATTATACAATAAATAATATGTCCTATAGAAAGAGTCTGCTGTAAAACTAAATGCCAGCAAACTAAATTATGGCACAGCTTGTTTTCATTAAAGAATAAAAGTCAAGCGTTTTAGATTGTGATATGGAACGAGTCATGTATCCAGCTGTCTTTGGATGTCCCGTTTTTAGGAGATGTATCGTTTCCATCTGGCGTTTCGGCTGGTGTCATACCGGACTCAGTATAATATTCCTCATCTTCGTCGAAATAACCGTTCTCCATCCCGTAGGGTCCATCCGCACTGGACACAGCGGAGAGGTCCTGGCAGCTGCCCTTGTACTCCTGGATGGACTCGTGAAGAGACCAGAGCTGACAGAGCAGGGACATGTCCTGCTGCCGCAAACCCACCTGCGCAAACAAACTCGAATGAGTGCTTATGGAAACATCAAAGGGACAACACATTGCACGCTAGAACAAAAGTGACTCAAAAACAAACATTTACTTTGAAATCGATCTGTGGCGTTTACTCACATAATGCATATTCTGTGTTTGCATTCCAAACCTTATGTTCTTCAGGTTTAGCTTTGTTCTGATATTGTAATGATTTGAACCTTTCCCAGTGATGGTTCAAGTGTTACAGCAAAAGGTAATTCACAAATAAACTAAAAAATAGACCCAAACAGAACCTGTTGTTTTTAAATGTTTACACAATCATAATAAGTTAGAAACGTAGGAACCCTGCATTTTTGTTCATCACAGGTGCATTTAGAACATTCAAATGTAAAAATTTTTGGTCAACACTTAGTAGTCCTGAACAGTAGAGCCGAACACTCATATCGAACATTTTTGTGGATCACGGTCACGTTCAAAAAACCTTAAGCGATCATTTGTGGCCATCGCAGGCACGTTTCGAATGGATGAACCGAACACTGGAATCGAACATACGAAGCGAACATTTTTGTTCGTCACCCGCACAATCGGAATATTTGAATCGAACACTGTTGAGAATCACAGAAGTGTTCTAAATATTCAAATTAAAATTAAAAAAAATTGAAGATCGGGTTCACTTTCAAAACATTCAAAAAATAAATAAAAATTTGTATCACCGGTAGGTTACGAATTTGCAAACTGAACATTTTTGTTCATCACAGGTGAGCCTGAACAAAAATGACAAACCGAACATTGTTTGATTCGCAGATTAAGGGAGTATTAAAGCATTCAAATTAAACATTTAGAATAACAGTCACGTTCAAAAAAATCCCAAGTGAACATTTTTGGGCACCACAGACTCAGGGGCGTGTCTAGAGCATTTTAAATGGGGGGGGGCAGTCGGGGGGCCGGTGCCACCCCTGGCCACCACGTAGACAGGCCCCTGCACAGACTAGCTCTTAACAGTATAATCTAACATTTTGGGCATCAAAAAACATCCGAAATCAGACATTTTGGGCATTACAGACATTTTTGTTCATCACTGGCACAATTGAAACATTCTAACGTTAATCGAACAATGTTGCAGGATCAAAGGAAACAAAAAAACAAACAAATTAATTAATTGGGCATGATGAGCGCAATCAGAGCATTTTGTTGGGAATCACATGGGTGTTGTAAACATTCAAAACGAACATTTTCCAGGATAACGGTCACCTTCAAATAATTCGAAGCGAACATTTTTGGCCATTACAGACGAGTTGCGAACATTCGAATCGATCAATCTGGGCATCACAGGCGCGTTCAATTCTTGTTCCTTCCGAACTTTCGAATTGATTCGCGTTACAAAAATGTTCTATTCGTGACTACGCTGCCCAAGCATGTTGACTAGGCAGGAAGGTTACTAGACTTTAAAACACAGGCACTGTGTTAAATGAACGCCTGCAGTCGGGAGTAGGCTACAGCTGTTGCTTACTATTCTGTACCCTTACCATCTCTTTTCTGAGCAAAGCAAGGGCGGCATCCAGGTTTGCTGGTTTATTCGCCAGCAGATTGTCCGTGTTATTCCTTCCTCGGCTCAAGTCGTCCTGAATCATGGTCTTCTTCACATACATCCTCTCCATCTCTCTCCACGAGCCGCCGCTGGAGTTGAGCAGTCCGCTCAGGCTCTTGGGCAGCGGCGGCAGACCCTCAATACAGGCCAGCACACCGCCCGCTGCTCCATTCCCAACCTTACCATTCATACTAACATTCACAAATAGCACGCTCTGCTTACAGACGAGTGTACAGTAACGGCATGTGATAATTTTCTTTAAGACCTTTACACCCTGACGTCGAAAACCCCATGTAACAGCCACCGCTCCGAACAACACTATAATCTGAGGCTGGAACTCAACTCGCACTTCCTGTCGCTTTAAAGAGACCCAGAGCGGGCTGGGCGCGGCCGCCAGTGACGGACAGCGAGCTCATTGAATATTCATGAGAATTAAGTTCTGAATTAATCTTTTCTTCTCATCAAAATGCAGCCAGAGCTATTGTGTGGAAACCTACATTTTCATCACATGTATGACATTATTTGGTCTTGCTACTGACCTTTTTGAAAAAAAGAAAAAAGAAAAAAATTATAATTAGGAAAAAATTAATTATAATAAAATAAAAAAATATCAACGTAATAAATATAAATAAAATAAATAGCACAAATGAATGAATAATTAAATATATACATAAATAAAATACCAAAGATTTTTCAATTTTTTTAAATGAACTTATTATTTGGATTTGCTACTGACCTGTTTGAAAAAACAAAGAAACAGTAATTTTAGAAAAATAAAATAAAAAGTAAAATAACACATAAATGAATGAATGAATCCCAAATATTTTTGCAATCTGTACTCAAAAACTGTTAAAAATATATACTTATAGTCATTTTTAAAATGTAGAAAATATTGTTTGTTTTTGGTACTGGTCTGTTTAAAAAAAAAGGAAGAAAAAAAACAATTGTGAGAAAAACAAAATTATAATAAAAAGGAAAATAGATACATAAAAGATGAATGAATGAATAAAGATAAATTAAATAAATAAAAATAGATTTTGCAATGTTTTTACATTTTTAAAAAAAAATATGTACTTATAAACATTAAATATATTCATTTTATGAAGTGCTAAAAAACATACTTTTATAAATACAAATGTGTTGCATTTATGTTGTTATATTGTAATTTAGCATTGGTGTTTTGATTACTGGGTTAAATCCAGATCACAGTCCTCTAACGGCAGCTCAGACTTTGGCTTGGGGAGCACATGGGCAGGAAATGGCCAGATGAATTGACTCAGGGTGAGGTCAGGGCCGGAATCCCCACACGGAACAAAGGTGTCAGCAGCGGGCAGATGGTGAGCACGAGCAGCCACGGATCCGCCCTCTGACACACACACACACACACACACCCAGCTGCAGCTGGACACAAAACACTGACATGAGGCCAGTACAAAGACAGCATGAGCGCACGCACACACACACACACCACACACCCACACACACACACACACACCACACACCCACACACACACACACACACCACACACCCACACACACACACACACACCACACACCCACACACACACACACACACCACACACCCACACACACACACACACACCACACACCCACACACACACACACACACCACACACCCACACACACACACACACACCACACACCCACACACACACACACACACCACACACCCACACACACACACACACACCACACACCCACACACACACACACACACCACACACCCACACACACACACACACACCACACACCCACACACACACACACACACCACACACCCACACACACACACACACACCACACACCCACACACACACACACACACACACAAACACACAAACACACCACACACACACAAAGACAGAGCTGCTAAACTTCACGGCCTCCTTTACTATCCAAACAGCTACATACACACAATGAACACAACAAATGAAATCCAGTGTGGCTGAAACTGTTATCTTATCTGTGTTGGATACTCTTGAGAACAGTGGATAAAGATCTGACCATGAGGACATTCTGTCATGACAATATAGATCCAAACAATTCACTTTTTACTGGCTCTTGTGTCATTCTTCTGTTCTGTACTGTGTTAACACAAGACATGCATTATGATGAATGGTATGACATGACTACGATATTCTGCTTGGGTAAATTTGGCTTAAATCCATTTACAATGTTTTCATGCTGTATAATGGATCAAATATTAAATAATTTTCAGTTTTCAATCATCCTCCAGGAAGTGAAATAACTTTTGCTGGGAAAATAACAGTATAGACAGCTACGTGCAATATTTTTGTGGTTTGTGTCACTCTAAAACCTTCAGTCCTGTTTGATAAAATGACACAAATCAGTACGATAATACACATTTCCGAAGAAGAAATGAACACCATTAGTCAGTCAGTGCTTAATCTTTAAAAACTTGAGCTCTTATTTCACTCCTGTTAATTTATTTACACAATGACATGAAATTTAGCTTGACCACAGCATATATTGTAAGGAGCCGTTCATACAGTACGCGTTTTTATATTCCACTACGCTGCTTTTCCATTGTGTTTCCATGTAAACACATGGACGTGTTAGACTCAAGTCTCTTGCAGCATCTTGCGTATAAAAGAGTTCAACCTTGTCTTTTTCAGTTTATTACTACCGCATTTTACTTTCTTATTGTTTTATGTAAACATGTGCTTTTACTATTGTTGTCGTGTCTATTTGCAGCATCTCACGCATGACAGCATTTTAAAAAATATGGTAGTCAAGTTAAAATGAACTTAACTTCGTCTCGAGACAATTCGAAGTGAACATTGTTGGGCTAGTTGCGAACATTCGAATCAAACTATTTGGGCATCAAAGACATGTTCAAAACTTTTGATATATGAACATTAAGTTCCTTCCGAACTTCCAAACATGTGCTTTGACCATTGCTCTTGCATCTTTCGCGGTGTCTTAAGCACAGCATTTTAAAAACATGGTGCTCAAGTTAAAATAAGTTCTACTTTTTAATATCACGCCATTCTTGAGATAAACCATTCAAAGTGAACATTTTTGGCCATTATACAGACTAGTTGCAAACATTCTAATCAAACAATTTTGGCATCACAGTTATTTTCAAAACTTTCGATATGAACATTAAGTTCCTTCTAAACTTTCGAATCAATTTGACCAATTTTTTTTTTCCCAACACATTGTGTGAATGGCCCCTAAGTCTACTTTATTCTGTAAAAAATACTGTCTTAAAATTACAAACAAGCATATTCATTTTTAAAATATTACCAGAATTACCCATATGTAAAACTCGATTAAAATAAATACTTAAACGTTTTCACAATTTTTCCCCAACTAGAGTGTTTCAAAAAGACAAAGGGATACTGAAATACATAATTGAACATTTATTTCAACAAAGTTAATTACAACAGTTTATAGGCAACATGAGTCCAAAATAAATCAGGCACAGTTTTGAATTTTAAAAACACGATAGAAAATCCACTTAACAAAATCAACATACAAACATTTAGAACCACTTAATTAACTTCTTAAATTTATGTTAAAACAGAGTATCAATATAAAACCATTTGAAAACAAAACGTCTGCCCCTAAATTGGCCAACAATAAATTGTGCAAAGTTTTCACTCCCAACAGAGAATGATGCATTAACAGACAGCACGGTTTGCCTTGAGAACCTGTAGTGCATGTTAAAACGACACGCATACATTACAAATGACATCCCCGACGCCTGCAGCATGTCAAACACTAAACAAATCAATGCGTCCTGCCTCTTTTTACGTAAATCAACGTTATGCGCACGGGCCTTTGAGTGAACCACGCCAAAGCGTGTGAACTCGTCATCAGGCATTGTTTCCTTCAAAGGTGGGTCGCTGGTTTTGAAACAACAATACTCGTGACTTGACAATATATCATGACTATTATTACATCAGAAGGTTTTAACCTGTACACCCGATATTCACTTCTGGGTGGGGTTAATTTTTGAATGCGCGCATTCCTCTAGGGCACAAAGTAGATGTGAAATTATTATGCAGAAGGTGGCACAAGCTCCGCCCCCCCACTCATGGGCCAACCTGCCAGAGCTGTTATTGATGACACCGAGATGAAAGCGACCTTGCAAAGCCTGATCCGGCAGAAAGCTAAGCACATCTAAATCCCACAGCGGACAGCCAATGCGTGCGAAATTCAGTACTGCTGATTCGACATGAACCGCGGACATCAACCCACAAAAGGACAGTGAGTGACGCCTCTTTAAACCACTCGCTCAATTTCAACTAAGCTGTCAATCACGAACAACATTCTTCCCATGATGCAAAAACGAGGTAGAATAAGTCAGTAAGCGCAAAAGCAAATATGGCGCGCTTTGTAGACTTAAATGACTTATAAATTTATTTTAAGAACTGTCGCTTATAGCTATTGCATTGGAATGAAAATATCTCACTACTATGACATAAAACAATATTTAATATTTCTATTTGAAGCTATACCTGAGCTATGGAATATCACAGTAAAACACCTCTCCTAGCTTTATTAAAGCCCTATGGCCTGTACTTCCTCTCAGAGATTATGACAGACAGGAATCCAGATGTTCATTAATTGTGGACTCTGGGACTTTGATGTGGCAGACGGGGCAGTGGACGGTGATCAGGATTGGAGGATTGTTTGCTTGCTCATCCCTGACTAGCAGAATGCCAGAATCCACCTCCTCTCTCTGCTGCACTGTGGACGTGGAGGACTTGCCATTTGTCTGCTGGAAGTAATCAAAGATATGTTCAGATTTATGGTCGTCCCATGATCTCTTCTTGGCTCCTGAAGGCGTCGTCCCTGATGTCCTGGGGCTGCCGATGCTCCTAGGGCTCGGAAAGTTGGATTCAGGCTTTTCGGAGCCTTCAAAGTGCTTGGAACCGGACCCTGAAGGAACTGAAGCATGTGAACTTTGGGGACCGCCAGTGTTTCGGAATCCTGAGCTTGAAGCATCTGATCCTAGTTTTTGGTTACTTCCGAAGAGCTTCGAAAAGTAACCCGGTGTTCCAGTTGCAGACTTTTGGGGGCTTCCCAAAGTTTTCGACTGTGAATCTTGGGATTTCGACGTTTGAGCACTGCTGCCGAAATATTTGGAGAGATGCGACTCTGGCTTTGGCACTGTGGCACTGTATGAGTGATGGTTACTGATCAGGCTAGTTTGCCCTTCTAAGGCACTAGATGAAGATGGTCCCTTACATTTAGCAGGGTTTGCTGTTGAGGCATCTGCGGCAGGCTTGGAGGAACCAGCAGCACTGACTGCTCTCTCTGGAGATTTGAGGACTATGGCCTGGAAGAGATCTCGTACCGAC